GTCATTATCATAAATATTCTACAGGAACCGGCTTCCAAAGGCAAGACAATATTGACATCGATTCATCAACCATCATCTCAAATTTTTCAATCATTTGATCAACTAATTTTATTAGCTGATGGCAAAACTATTTTCAAAGTAGATATTCAATGAGATTCTCACAACTGAATTAATAGGTCAATTCTTTAGGGTAAACCATCAAATGCTCTTGCTTATTTCGGAACATTGGACTATTTTTCACCTCCACAATATAATCCAGCTGATTTCATAATGGATCTTGCCAACAAAAGTTTCGAAGTTCGTGAAGAACTGAAGAAGGCTTATATTCGAAATAGATTTCCTATAAATGGAAAGCAAACACATGATAATTTTCAAAAACAACAGGAGTATTCAAATGAATGTCAAAAATATCTTATCGGCGAACCGAGTGGCAACGAAGAAGATTTACCGCAAGGCAATAACACAGAAATCATCGGACAAAGAGAAGAAAGTAAATGGGCTGTAGGCTTTTTTGCACAAATATCAGTTCTTTTTCGACGTAATTGGGTACTGACAAGCAAGGCTCAATTCGATGTACTGAATTGTACTCAAGGATTATGCTTATCCATTATGTTTGGTCTTTTCTGGTTACGTCTAACTTACAGTGAAGAAACACTAAGAGATCGAGCATCATTCATTTATTTTATGCTAATATTTTGGCCGTTTGAATTATGTTTCGTGAGTGTATTGTCATTTCTAGTGGAACGCCCTATCATAGACAAAGAACGAGCAAGCGGATCATTTCGTTTATCAAGTTATTATCTTGCTAAATGTCTATCTGAAACTCCGCTTAAACTTGTTTTACCGATTATTTCTTTTATTATAGCATATTGGATGGCAAATATGAATCGGAATTTCAGTATTTTTCTTGGTATTATTGTTTCTTTAGTAATGGTCGTCCTTGTAGCTGAGTCCATTGGTCTTTTCTTAAGTGCATCACTACAAGATTTACGACGAGCTTGGGTCGCTGTTAATATAATTCTACTTATTTTACTATTAGCTGGTGGATATTATATTGAAAATATACCCGTTTGGTTAAAATGGACTAAATGGTTATCATATTTCAAATATGGCTATGATGCTTGTCTTCAACTGCAATTTACAGGGGAACATTTGTATAAATGTGATAATGGAGCATATATTAATGTGTGTAGAAATAATCCTAATGGAACATTTACCGGTGATGATGCGTTAAAATATTTCAAACCTGACCTTAGTGCTGGTCTGAATATTCTTGTTCTAATCGGGATGTTTATTACGTTGAGACTTTTAACATATATTTCATTACGCTTCATAAAAGATCGTGTTGGCCGCACTTGAGCATAGAATAATTTACTTTTAGAAGCATTGAACTTGCCATTTTCTACTCTTTGAATAAAATAGGAACTAGTGCGTTCATTCAAAAGCATTCTTTTAATCATGAAAATACTTATCTATTTTAATGTATTTATTTTCCGATAATAATCATATATACACCAAATTTTCATAGATGACAAAAATAAAACTGATCAGATTCGATTTTAGGAGAAAACACCACAACAAATGTTAACTAAAGAAGATGGTGGATGTAAAATGCAGTCAAATTGTACATCTAACAAAGGCTTCCAAACTACTACTCCTCTGAAGCCTACATGTAGATTAGTGCCTAGTATACCAAAATTATTTGACCTTAATCCTTAACCGTACCAGTTTCATTGCTTTTTTTCTTCACTTAGAGCGCGACCTAAACTCGAATTTCGATTCCGAAAATCGAAGATTTTCGTACATGAATCTTACTTGGGCTCGATCTCGTTTATATGTGAGACTAGACCAAGACTATTGGGGAAATATACGATACTCGTCCAAAGTCCTGCTACCAGATGAAAGTTACTTAAACATCAACGGTTTAAGCACATATTTTTATGATGAATAGGACCCAATGAACCTTGATCATAGGAATCGACAAGAACAAACTTAGCGTTAATGCTAGGGACTTACAAGCCAAACGCGTATCTTTATTTGGAGTAGGATTATTTTAGTGCAGTACGAAAGTCTTTTAGTTTTGTGATTACTCATTAGAGAGAGAACTATGCTATCTCTCTGGTTCATAAAAATTTCATGCTAATCGACTTTAACGTGTCTGAGTTATGAGTTATTCTTTGACAATGATTGACATCTAGCTGGAAACAATTTACAAGTAATTTATTAAAAATTTAATTTTTCTTCAACTGTTGAACTTGAGATTTTCCCCAGAGTGTGCCCTACTATGTAAACTCTTTTTGGATTTTTTAAAATTGTAGCTGGTACTAAATCAGTGATCCAATTTTCATTTATACTGAATGATGTATAATTGATTACATATGAAGTTAACAATGAACTGAGACGATTTTTATATTATAAATAGATGATCATCAGAGTTTGGTATTCATGAGAAAATAATAGCACAAACGCTTCAAATGCATCCTTGATAATAAAAATATCTTGTTATCCCACTGAAGGATGCTAGTGAAAAATTCTACCGTGGATATAAGTGTCTAAGAAAAGAAAACGAATAAAACGCTGACGCCCAGACACAGACCCTTTCTAATAAAAACTTTGCGACAGATTAAAATAGCTGTTATAGTGTTAACGTACAGACAATAGAAAAATAAGGCAATCGCTATACTCATGCAATCCGCGAATACTGCTTCATTCGCTGGATATCGATCTGTTGCCCTTATTGATATTATGTTTATATAGGTTCCACTAACAAAATTCTACACATACATTGTTTTATTTCTTTTAAATGAGGTATGACTAGCGGTGTCAATACAGTGAAATTTTATGCCAAATTTTTGAATTCATCTTTGATTGAAGCAGATAAATCTTAATTAGAATGTGATAAATAAACGAGAAATTCGGTTCAGTTAAAGATCTTACAAGGAAAAAAACCACCGATAATATCGGACTAGAATTTTTCACTAGAATTCTTTGGTAGGATAACAAGATATTTCTATTATCAAGAATGAATTTGAGGCGTTTGTGCTATTATTGTCTCACAAATACGAAGCTGTGATGATCATCTATTTATAATATAAAAATCATCTCAGTTTATTGTTAACTTCATATGTAATCAATTTTACGGTAAGTTCAATTTTCGCCGAAGACGAATTTCGCCGAAAAAAAGTTCGCCGATTCTAGTTTCGCCGAAAGAATTTGATCACCGAAAACAAATATAAGTTGAGTTTGATCATGTATACAACAATTCTATTGAGGCAACTAATCAATTATATCCAGTCAATTAAATCCTACTTGAGATGGCTTCCATGTTGATTAAATT